AAGGCCAGGATGGGCGCCCACCCCTACTTCGCCGAGGGGCGGCACTTCGCGCGCGAGCCGCGCTTCGCCGAGCGCCCCGCCGACTACGGCCGCCCCAAGAGGGACGACTACGGCTACGAGGAGAGGAGCCCCGAGCTGCACTACCGCAGGGACGAGGGCGGCTACGGCGACAGGGTGCGCGACGGCTGGAGCCACGACTACGACAGCCGCCGGGAGAGCTACCGCGAGGGCCGGTGGTGCCCGGCGCGCCACTGACCCGCTCTGGCGCCGCCGCGGCACCCGCCTGCCCCGAGGAACCCGTCGAACGTGTTCCTCGTTGTACATGTGTATAGAAACCCCTCCGAGCAGCCCCTCGGTGCCCGTGAGCATCGCGTGCCCGTAGCGGCGCGGTCCTCCAGAGCCAGCGTCTTGATTTCCAAGGGGTTCTCTGTTGACCTCAGGGGTTTTATGCAGGAAAACAAACAAACGTGCCACAATTTCAGAGAAATCATTGCTGTTTGCCTGTATTATAGGGGAAATCTGTTTGTATTTTTGTAGCGCAGTCGGAAGAGGCAGTCTCTGTATCAGATAGGGCCTGCGAGCAGTAGGATGCTTTGTGGCATCCGCTACCCTTCACCCGGTGTGTTTTGATACAGAAACGTTACCTTTTGGGTACGGCCTGGAGCCRAGTGTTCAGAGGCTCCCTGTGAAACCTGTGCATCCCGCACCGTGCACTCGGTGTTTTGATAACACGACCCAGCCTGTTCGATTGGCCTGCGTGCTGCTTCTTACCTCAGCCCTTCGGAGCCCCCAGTTGTGCTTTCTTTCAGAAACCCTGAAGCTCCTGCGGGGCTGGGACTCGGAGGTACCGCTGGCTCCGCTTCCCTGCATGCCGGCACGAGCCGCGGTCCCGAGGGCTCCAGGGCAGCGGGAATCTGGAACACACCAAGACCCGGGACACGCGCGAGASCCTCGTGGCGGGCGGCAGCCCCCGGCGCTCGCATGCACCCCGCGTGCGGCCCGTGCCCTGCGGCCCGTTGCCGTTCAGGCCGTTTCCGTCCAGCGCGTTGCCGCTCGCACCG